ATATTTTTTTCCTCATCAGTTATACATTTTATTACCATTGAACATCAGACAATGGTGGGTACGGTTCCCTGCTGTGTTTTCCATGTACAAAACAGACAAAGACTCCAACAGTTTATGATGAGGCTCTAGGGTTACTCTTTGTAATATAGTTGCCTTGGCATTCACAGGTCCCGTCTTTCTGAAATGACTTCTATTTCTCATTGAATACTGGCTTAGAAAGTTTGTCCCCATTTCACAGTTGAAGAGATTAGGTCCAGGAAAAGTTAATGTATTTATGTAAATTAATACCATCATCCCCTAGGCTGGTGGGACCAAATTAAGTCTACTTAAAATCTGAAGTTCAAGTACATTCTTGTCTAGCCTTAGTATATTTTCCTGTGCTACCTCCCACGATTTCCTGATTTTTTTCTACACTCCTCTAATTACCATTCCTGAAAACTATGTGATGCTTCCCCACTTTTGAACTACATGTAATTCTTTCTACCTTGATTCTAGAAGTTTCTTTCATGTCTCCAATGCCAAAATCTTACTACCTTCAAGTTCTAGGAAAGCATCTCTGATTTCCATAACCAAGCAAGAATTCTTCCTCTCTCAACTCCCAGTATATTAATGTTCCTTCATTATTCAAAATTTCCTTTTTCTTTTTTATTTTGTTGTTGTTGTTTCTAGCTTTCTCAACAAGATTATGGGCAACTGGAACCCTTTAATTATATCTTATTTACTCTTTGGTAGTTTTGTAGCAGCTATTATGATGTGTTAACAATCACTGTCTATGTTTCCCATGATTTTTTTTGTGAAACTCTGGAAGCACTGACTGTAAGTAAATACTTTGTTCTTTTTCTCTAATTCCAGAGGTAGTGACGTAAGTAAAGAGACTTCACGTTTGTATATCCAATTGTTTACTCGATAGCCCCACTTGGATGTCAAGCACATGAATCTGATGCTGTATCACAACTTCCCATTCCATCAGCCCTAATCTGCTCCTCCCTCAGCTTCCCCGTTCACAGTACTAGGAGCCCCATACTTTCAGTTACCAAAACCCCAAACCAAATTCACAGCTATTGAATCAATTCCAACTCATAGTGACCCTATATAGGGTTTCCAAGACTGTAAATCTTTACATCATTCTCTCAATGACCTATTGACAGGTTTATGGTTAGAGCCCCAGCACTAACCTGACAGATACACCAGGGTTCAGGCCATAAAACTTATAGGGGCTTCAGTTCTCTTTCTCTCTCGCCTCTCACACCCAATTCAATGGCAAATGCTGGTAGACTCCATCCCCTACCTCTGCACACACATCCCGCCCCCACACCACACCATGTCCTTCTTCATGCTACCACAGTTTAAGTCACCACCATCTGCAGCTGAAATTATTCGCTTGCTTCTTTACTGGCCTCTGATTTCATTCCATTTGCTCCCATTCCCCCCTCCCTTTGTATATTCTATTCGAAACATACAGAGAGAGTAGTGTTCCAAAGCAAGTCAGATCACATCATTATTTTCCAAATCCTCAATGGATTTCCTTTTCAATCAAAATTATGTTCTGGAGGCTAGAGTTTTGAGAATGATGAGGGCAACAAATGTGCATATGTGTTTGACACAATGGATGTACGTATGGATTGTGATGAGAATTGTACGAGCCCCCAATAAAATATTTTTTTTTTAAATTATGTTCTGGCATCAATCTATAAACCTTTTTTTCTGATCTGCGGCACCATTGTCTCTCCAACCTTGTGTTATGCCCTTTTCTTACCCATCATAATTCTCTCTTTGATTTTTTTTCCAAAAAATAAAAATCCAACGTGTGCCTGCCTTAGTTACCTTTCTCTCTGCCCACAATTCTCTCCTTTCTGATAGCAGAGTAGCTTGATCTCTTATTTCCTGCTTAATGTCATCAGCAAGCACGTCCAGATCATGTTACATAAAATAATACCTTCCCTCTATAACCTTGATTTGCTTATATTCAAAATACTTATCACTAGACTTATTATTCATTTAAGTTTTTTTAAAAAATACATTTCAAGGACTCTTACTTGTTCACTGCTGCATTTACCCTCATTAAAGTAGTAGCTGGCACTACTTTTAGGTAGTTAATACATACAAGGGGGTACCCCTGCTCCCAAAAAAAGGAATTGCACTGGGAAGAGAGCGGAGCTTTCATAGTATGCATTCCACCACCCCCAACTAGGCAAACATGGAGCAATTAGCTCTGAGCTAGTGCACCCAGCAGCATCACCTAGGAAGATTCTCTCTGGTCGCAGTGAATTTTTTTATAAAAGCAGCTTCCCTCAAACCTCCTTTTTTTGTGATGGCTGATATAAGAGAACAGTGTGCAGCTGTGAAATTTTGTTTCCTGCTCGGGAAAAATGCCACAGAAATTGTTGTTATATTGAACACAGCTTACAAGGACAGCACTATGGGAAAACTCAAGTGTATGAGTGGTTTTCTCATTCCAAAAAAAAGGTAAAATGTCAGTTGATAACAAATCTCATTCTGGAGGTCCATAAATTTCACAAATGGTTGAAAATGTCAACTCATAATGCATTTGGAGTTCATTCTACTAGGTCAAACTGTTAATCAAGCTTTCTATTGAGAACTTCTGAAAAGATTATGTAACAGTGTGTAGCAAAAATTCCTGATTTGTGGCAGACAGTGGACTAGTTTTACCACCAGAGCAATGCACCTTGCTCATGCAGCCATCTCAGTGCACCAGTTTTTGGCAACAAAAACAGCATGCCTTTCTTGCCCCATGGACTTTACTCTCCTGACCTTGTTTCATGTAGCCTCTTTTTGTTTCCTGAATGAAGAGGGACATGAAAGGACAGTACTTTGACGATGTAGAAAAGGTGAAGACTCCTAAAGGCCAACTCATAGTCCCTGAACTAACTACAAACTTTCTTCTTCTTGTGTATTATTTTGTTTTTTGTCATTTGCTTGTTGGTGTTGTTGTTTTGTTTTGTTTTCTTTTGTTGCTTGGTATTACTCTGTCTTGTTTTTGTGCATGTTGTCATCTCCACAGGTCTGTCTAAATAAGATAGGCTGGATGAACAATATGGAGGAAAAAGCAAAGGGACCAACAGTTCCGAGAGGACATGGGAGAGGGGGAGGTGGGGGGAAAGGAAGTGGTGTTAACAAACTCAGGGACAAGGGAACAGCAAGTGATCCAAATTGGTGGTGAGGTGGGTATGGGAGGCCTGGTAGGGCATGATCAAGGGTAAATGTAACAAAGAGGAATTGTTGAAACCCTGGTGGGGACTGAGCATGATAGTGGGACAGGAGAAAAGTCAAGGGAAATAGAGGAAAGAACTAGGAAGCAAAGGGCATATATAGAGGTCTAAATAAAGGCATGTACATATGTAAATGTATTTATATATAAGGATGTGGAAATAGATATGTGTGCATATATTTATAGGTTTAGTATTAAGGTAGCAGATGGACATTGGGCCTCCACTCAAGTACTCCCTCAATGCAAGAATACTTTGTTCTATTAAGCTGGCATTCCATGATGCTCACCTTCCCAACATAATCGCTGAAGACAAAGCATGTGCATAAGCAAATGTGGTAAAGAAGTGATGGTGCCCGGCTATCAAAAGATATAGCGTCTGGGGTCTTAAAGGCTTGAAGGTAAACAAATAGCCATCTAGCTCAGAAGCAACAAAGCCTACATGGAAGAAGCACACCAGCCTGTGCAATCACAAGATGTCAAAGGGATCAGGTATCAGGCATCATCAAAACAAAAAATCATATCATTGTGAATGAAGGAGAATGTGGAGTGGGGACCCAAAGCCCATCTGTAGGAAATTGGACATCCCCTTATGGAAGGGACACGGAGAAGAGATGAGTCAGTCATGGTGCAATGTAGCAACGATGAAACATATAATTTTTCTCTAGTTCCCAAATGCTTCCTCCCCGCTACCCCACCCCACCCCCACCCCCACTATATTGATCCCAATTCTACCTTACAAATATGGCTAGACAAGAGGATGTAAACTGGTACAGATAGAAGCTGGAAACACAGGGAATCCAGGACAGATGATCCCTTCAGGACCAGTGGTGACCATGGTGATACAGGGAGGGTGGGTTGGAAAGGGGGAACTGATTACAAGGATCTACATGTAACCTCCTCCCTGGGGAACGGACAACAGAAAAGTAGGTGAAGGGAGACGTAAGACAGTGTAAGATATGACAAAATAATAGTTTATAAATGATCAAGGGTTCATGAGGGAGGGGAGAGCGGAGAGGGAGGGGGGAAAATGAGGAGCTGGTGCCAGGGGCTTAAGTAGAGAGCAAATGTTTTGAGAATGATGAGAGCAATGAATGTACAAATGTACTTTACACAATTGATGTATGTATGGATTGTGATAAGAGTTGTATGAGCCCCTAATAAAATGATTTAAATAAATAAATAAAGAAGAGATGAAGAAAAAATGAGGGAGGTGCTGTCAGCCATCCAAATAGATGAGTTTGGAAAATGTTTCCAAGAATGGAATCACAGATTTGACAAATGTATTAAGTGTAATGGAGATACTTTGAAGGTGATAAATAAGGTTGTTTTGTAAAAAAAAAAAAAATTGAATACACTGCTTTGAAAAAATATTTCCTATTTTGGGGGTGCCCCTCATATGTATTGATGCATGCATGAATGAAGACTAGTAACTTCTAGTATAAAGACAGTTAGACTACTTTTCTAAGAGTCTACTGGGTTATAGTTAATACTTGATAAAATGCTCCAATGGAGTTGCCTTTTGCCCCTTCATAGGGTTTAAAGTGTTTAGGTAAAATAATACCATGGTCCCCTAGGTTGATGGGCTAAATTAAGTTACATAAGATCTGAAGTAAGAATTCTCTGGCTTAAATAAACTAGCTCAAAGTACCAAACTTGAGTATTCCAACAAGAAAATAGCTGTAGTGGGTAGAATTAAATGTCAGTTTGTGAAAATCTGTAAAATTACATACCACAAAAAATCAGATTTTATAATCTTTATTTCCTAGTGCAAGAGACAATGGCAGCAAAAAGAGTTGTGGTGATTGGCGCTGGAGTCAGCGGACTTAGTGCCATTAAGAGCTGTCTGGAGGAGGGCCTCCAGCCTACCTGTTTTGAAGGGAGTGATGATATTGGGGGATTGTGGAGATATGAGGTAAGTTTAAATAGTATTGTGTTTCCATATTGTCCCAGAAATAGAAATACAAAGGTTATATCACTAATCTATTTTTAAATTACCACTGTAATAATAATACTTTTTATTACTGTGTATGCCTGTAGATAAGGAGCCTTGGTGTCATGGGTTAAACATTGGAGAGTTTAAAATTAAGGTCAGTTAGTGATTCAAACCCCAGTTTCGCCAAGGAAGAACGGTGATGCTATCTGCTCTCCTGAAGATTTCTTGTCTTGGAAACCCCAAGGAACCATTCTACTCTGTCCTATGGAGTTGCTCTGCATTGGACTCAACTCAATGGCCGTGGGTTTGGGTTTGAGTTTGAAAGGCCTGTATGTTGACTCAATATCTTTTTACCTGCAGATAATGTTCACACATTCCTTCTTCTTTTTGGAATCTAGCTTCTTGAAAAGAGAATGTCTGCTTATTCTCTACTTTGTCCCACCTCTCCCTCCGTGTGACGGACTGCCTAGCACACTCCCCACCAAAGTCAAATCAAATGGACTTTCTGTAGTAAAATTTTACTTTTTCACTAGGGCTTAATAATGTTAAAGCTGACTTGTTTTTAATGCATTTCTTCCCATCTTGTATGATTCCATTCTCTTTTCTTTGTAGGTATTATTTTGCACTTGGTATTTAAATGTGGCTGTTTTAAACTTTTATTCCATCTTTTTAACTTTTTACAAATGTCTTATGGGTCCTTGGCTTCAGCTATCTCTTACTTATAAGTCTAAGGTCTTCTTTTTCAGCTTGGCAATATATTTGTATTACAGCAACTAACACTCACTATCCCACAAACCAATTCTCTGGAATCTCAAAGGCTTAGCCCAGTAACAGCTTGCACCATGGGCAGCAGTGGGTTTGATGGAATTTCTCCAATTCATAGTTTTACCTCAAGACCACGTGCCCTCCAAGGGTACCAACTAGAGAGAAAGGATAGGCGAGATCGAGAAACTCTTAAGTGCCTCCATCTGACAGCGGATCTCTGCTTTTGCTGTTCTCTGAGAGGCTTCATCAAACATCTCTCATCCTTTGTAAGTCTTTCATTCTCTGTGTAACCTATGTCAGTAAAAGGCACACTTTGGAGGGCTGGCACTGTTGAGTGATGACCGAAAAGTCACGACTTCAAAACCAGCAGCTGCTCTGCAAATAAAGCTGAGGCTGTCTGCTCCTGTAAAGATCCATAGTCTCCAAGACCCAAAGGGACAGTCCTACTCTGTGCGACAGGGTCACTGTGTGTCAGAACCCACTCAATGGCAGTGGGTTTGGCTTTGGATTGGTCTGACACATGTAATGTGATCCAAGACATGTAATGATAGAGCTCTAGAGTCACACCAAAATACCCCTGAACACCACATCATGCCATTTGCTTTTATTGGCAATGCTCATGTTTTAATTATAATTGAATTATTAATTAGGATAACTGCTGTTGGTATTTTCAAAAAATTGTTTTTATTAAGAGGCATATTTTTATATATGAATGCATCACCAATAATTTATTTTAAGAATCAATGCTTTTAACATTGAAGAGAAAAAGGTAAATTTATCTGTTCTTATTACTGATACATTTTTCCATAAGTTAGAGTCTACATTTCCTGTTCCAAGTTCAGTATATTCATAGTACCTACATTACTGATTCTTTACTTCACTAATATTATATACAAGATACCAACAACTAAAACAAAAGCCAAACTCACTTCCATTAAGTCACTTCTAACTCATAATGGCTCTATAGGACAGGGTAGCACTGCTTCTGTGAGTTTTTAAGATTTAATTCTTTATAGAAGTAGAAAGCCTTGCCTTTCTCCCAGAAGAGCCTGGTCGTTTTAGAACTGCTGACCTTGCCATTAGCAGCCCAACTCATAATCTCTATGCCACCAGGAGTTCACATTACTCCCACTGCCATCAAGTAGCTCTGGCTCATATCAACCCTACACAGTGTTTTCAAGGCTTTGGAAATCCACACAGTAGCAGACAGAAGCATCTTTCTCCTGCAGAGTAGCTAGTGGGTTTGAATTGATGACCTTGCAATGGGTAGTCCAACACTTACACTCAGCACCAACCTCCAAAATTGTGCTGTTTGCATATAGATACACTATAAATTCATTATTATAATCACTTCTCCCAAAGAAAATGACGTATTTTAATTAGTAGTACTTTTCCTTAGTCTTAAATTATTTAGACAGCTTATGCCTTAATATTAAAATAAAATAAAGAATGGCTGCTGAAACATATGACAAATGCTATATAATTAAATGAGAATAATACTGTATTTCAGAGGATCAATGTAGGCACTCGATGTGAAAAACTCTTTACAAACCATAAATTATTGTTGTCGTTAGGTGCAATTGACTCAGTTCCAGCGCGTAATGATCCTGGGCGCAACAGAAGGAAACACGGCCCGGTCCTGTGCCATCTTCACAGTTGTCCCTATGCGTGAGCCATCGTGCAGCCACTGTGTCCGTCCATCTTGTCGAGGGCCTTCCTTTTCCATGCCCCTCCACCCAACATGATGTTCTTCTCCAAGAATGGTTTTCTCCTCACAGCATGTTCAAAGTACTTGCGACGAAGTCTCGCCATCTTTTCATCTAAGAAGCATTCTGGTTGTATTTCTGCCAAGAGAGATTTGTTTGCTTTTTCTGGCAGTCGATGGTACTTTCAATATTCTTCACCAGCACCATAATCCAAGTGCAATGATTCCTCAGTCTTCCTTATTCAGTGTCCAACTTTCACGTGCATATGAGGCAATAGAAGATGCCATGGCTTGGCTCAAGTAATCAGACCTCAAAGTAGCCTCCTTGCTTTTCAACACTGATGAAGAAGTCTCATGCAGCAGATTTCCTTAATGTAATACGTTGTTTGACGTAATACGCTGCTTCTGTGACCATGGATGTATGGGTATAAGCAAGATGGACTCCTTGGCACATTCAATCTTTTCTCCATTTATCATAATCTTATCTATTGACCCACTTATGAGGTTTTTGGACTTCTTTACCTTGAGTTGTATAAATTGTTCTAAAGTCTAAAAATGCCATATGTATTAGTCTGGGTACATTAGAGAAACAAATCCACAGGAACTCATATGTATAAGAGATAATTTTATATAAAGGGTAAGTGCACATCAAGAAAACATCCCAACCCGGTGCTGCCCAAGCCCACAAGTCCAACATTAGCCCAGATGTCTGACACCAATCCACAAAGTCCTCTTCCATCTCACAAAACACACGCAATGATGCTGACTGCAGGAGGAAAACCAAATAAGTGAACATGTAAGCATCCCAGCACTGGCAGGGATCTCCACACGGCTGCTCCAGCACCCAGGGCTGCATCAGGATAGGTCCATGTGGCTTCTCCTCAGGGATGTCTTGCAAGAAGTGAGCTTTGCCAGCTGAAGCAGGGAACTGGCTAAGGCAGCTGCACCCTGGTCCGACCATCACAAAGCAAGAGACCCAAGAACTAGAAAAGCGAGGCTCACTGAGCCATTTATCTCTCTGCCCATCACTTAACACCACATGTGTTTATCGGCCAGGTTGCCACAGTAAACTTTAACTATATTAGGAACTAAAACTAGAATGGTTTACATAAAAATATTTTAAAGTAATTACTATGAAAAATTAAAATAAGTAATTATTGTGATTGAATAATCTCTACAATTGTCATTTGATTAAAATTTGATGTGTAATAAATATGTGCCTTCTTCTCTCACTAGGAGAAGACCGAAGATGGCAGACCAAGTATCTATAAATCTGCCACCAGCAACACTTCCAAGGAAATGACCGCCTACAGTGATTACCCTTTCCCAGATCATCAGCCCAACTACCTGCACAATTCCAAAATCGTGGAATACCTCCAGATGTTTGCCAAGCACTTTCATCTCAGGAAACACATCCGCTTTCTGGTAAGCGGGGCAGAGACTACTCAACACATGGAGAAGTTTTTTGACAGAAATGAGAGCAAGCAGGTTACGTTGCCACCTCAGTTTTGGAGGGAACCATACCCACCCAGTGTTGGTTTCACTTAGTATCTCTAAGGAGGACAGCTTTTTTCCTCATTTTCTTCCAGGAAAAAAGGCATGACAGATTGGTTAAAACATCAGAATTGGGCACTAATGTTTATCTTATCACTAAATTCAGAACCACAGTTGGAGTAAACCAAATGATGTCTCTACTTCAAAAGGCCGAGTAGAGAAAAGCAAGTATAAAGAACTTTCTGAGAAAGCTTCCATATGAGAATTTGCTAAGGCAGAGTAGCTAGCACCAACTTTATTCTTTGAGGGTGAGAATCCTGGGAAAAGAGGGGATTGCAAGGAGTTCTCATGAGTTTGGGTTTGTCTCATCCTCAGTCGAAAGTGTGCAGTGTGAGGAAGCGCTCTGACTTCTCCTCCACGGGACAGTGGGATGTTGTGGTAGAGACGGAAGGGAGGCAAGAATCCTATGTCTTTGATGGGGTCATGGTGTGCACTGGCCTTTACACCAATCCTGTCTTACCACTCCAGACCTTTCCAGGTATGTCCCATAGATCCCAAAGCAATGGTTTGTGGGGTTTTGTCATTATTGCTGTTGTCATTTTTGAAGGAAGTTTGTAACTCTGAAAGTCACTGTTTTCACAAGAAAATAGACTCTTTTCTGATTATGCACCAATGTATGTTTTTTGAAAGACTGCTCCCATAATATGCATTGTTACAAATTGAAAGTAGAAATTGTTGGTATCTCAGTACTACTACTTCTGGGTTATTTTGAGAGGAAAGGTGGAGATGGTTTTGAAATGTGGAGATGGTTTTGCTTTGACAATAGCTTCAAGTAAAATGTTTTTAAGATTCCAATTTATTTATGAATATGTGTGTATGTGAAGAGCAATATGAACACATACGACTATGCGTTTGTGGGCTCAACCACAGCAATAATTTGGAGGGTGGTGCAGGCCTGAGCAGTACTTCATTCTGTTGTACATAGGGTATCTGTGAGTCCGAACCAACTCAACAGCACTTGTCAACAAACCGCACGGGTCAGTGTCACCAAGTGTATCCGAGGAGACCATAATACCGTTTGCCATCAGGAGCCTAAAATACTCTGCACACGAGGAAAGGAACAGTGCAGGAATACTTGCCTGCACGAGGTCTCCTCGGTTGTCACTCGCAGCAGAGTGTTTGCTCCTTCCTGGGGAAGAGTGACACTTAGATTCTTCTGGCGTCCTCAGGAGATGTTGGACTGGTTCTGAGGGGCTCAGTTTCCCACTGTTGGAAAAGACAGCTCTTGTTTTCCCTGGGGAATCATGGGTCACATGACCTTCTCCCAGCTTGGATGTGTAACAAAGCTCACGGACTATTGCCAACCTGGAAAGCTCACTAAAGACTTTGGTGTCCAATTTTCCTGGAGCTCAACCATATTCTGTCTGCAAAGCTGACTTTTACTCTCCAGCCTCACCTATATGTCAAGCTAGCATCTTTATTCTCCCCTTTTCCTCTAGAAATTGAAAATTATGCAGCATACCCCAAAGTCCCCATCACAAACCACATTGCTAGATTATCTGGTGGTCAAAGTCCTCAGATTAAAAAAAAAAAAAAAGACATTCCTATCAGGCAGGCTATTCGAGGTACCGAGAGGTTACCTCCCAGTAGCTAAGGGAAAATTAGATCTTTTGGGGGTAAAATAATTGCCAAGGCATGAGAAATTCTGTTCTTGCCCACAGGGATCAAGAAGTTCAAGGGTCAATATATGCACAGTTGGGAATACAAGAGTCCGGAGAAGTTTCAGGGGAAGAGAATCGTCGTGGTCGGTATAGGAAATTCTGGAGCTGACTTGGCAGTTGAACTCAGTCATGTAGCCGCACAGGTTTGGCCTTTGAAGTTCTCTTCTTATCAGTGCAACCTGCCTCATGCCCTCTGGCATGAAAGTACTGGGTGAAATGTGTGGACCATGTTCTCACATTGCTTCAACCCTGATAGTTAATTATTCTTAATGCCTAGTTTTTCAGGGCATATGTGGCAGTTTGCTCCAATAGGGAGAATGGGAAAAAAAGTGTTTAATTATATAAGACTGACAAATTATTAATTTCCACCAAAGAATGTGAGCTGCGTCAGCTCAACCAAGAATAGTTTGTAAATGAACATAACATAAAATCACTTTTTAAAATCTTTCTATTTTCATTGATATGACAGGTGACATTCCTTCTCAATGTTGATCCCGTCCACACCTGAATTTCTAGTGACACAGATTAATAAAGTGTTATAGATGCTACTGTAATCGGTCCATGAATGGGACCTTGGGTTCGTTGATTTCTAGTCTTCTTGTATTATTTTGTTTTCTCAGAATTTGAAATATAAGTGATTCTAGGCTTCAAGTACAGCTTTGGAGAGGCTCAAAAGGAGAGTGGGTGAGATTCAGGGACAGACTTAGGCAGATCTCTGAAACCATCAGCAATATGTCAGGTGTGTGTGTTTCTGAGTGTGTGTGTCTGTCTGTTTCTGAATCTGTGGTGTATTTACCTGGTAAAGAGGCAAACTTGTTCCATTTCTACTGATGAGCCAAGTAGAAGATCTATGAGGCACAGAGCAAATGATGCTGTGAAAGAAATCATATATTGTGAGGCAGCTAATTTTAATTTATTTGCACTTACTCCTAGGTGTTCCTAAGCACAAGGCGAGGCGCATGGATTTGGAACCGCGTCTGGGATTATGGGATGCCCATGGACACCAGCCTCTTCACTCGCTTTAACTCTCTCTTCAACAAATTCTGCCCAGCATTTCTAATCAACAGATGGACAGAGAATAAATTAAATGCACGATTTAACCACCACATTTATGGTTTGCAACCACAGCACAGGTGCGTTCTGCTACTTTTTTAAAAAATTGTTTTTAGTTGTGTCTTTGCCTTTTGAAAGCAGTAGGTCAGAAAAAAATACTTAAACTTTTAATTTATTTATTCAATTATGTATTTTTGAGGATATTCATCATTGTTTTCTTTCTCATATTTCGTTGGGTCTTCCACTAATTAATTTTATAGGGAAAAATTTAATTTCCGAAATTTGGTGGCAGCTTCATTGATTTTCACCCTTTGCATTCATTCGTTTTAAATAATTTTATTGGGGGTTTATACAACTCTTATCACAATCCATACATTAATTGAGTCAGGCATGTTTGTACATGTGTTGTGCTCATTCTCTTCTGGACATTTACTTCCTTTTTTTAAAAATCATTTTATTGAGGGCTCATACAATTCTTATCACAATCCATGC